TACATATAAGCTAGTGTTAAAGTAATAAAAAATTACTAAGCTTTAAGTAGCTAATAAGGCTACTATGTAATATAAATTATATAAAAAAAAGTAAATTAAAGTAGAAAAAACTTTAATAATTTAAAAAAGCCTACACTTAATAGCTCTAAAAGAGTTTAAAGCGCACAGTAATAAAAAAAAAGTAAAAAAGTAGGTATAAGCTAAAGTAAGTAAGCTATTCTAAAGGCGCTATAGATAGTGTAATTAAACTAAGCATAACACATAAACATGTAAGTAAGAAGTAAAAGTAGTATCTAAATAATATTCTAGGCTGTACTGTACTATATAGTGCTAGAGCAGGTTGTTATAGACTATAATAGAGTGTGTTAGGGTGTGGTCTTAGCAAAAGTAAGCGACTTAGGTGTGTAAGCAACTTGCCTGTGAAGTATGTTAATAATTTAAAAAAGCTTACACTTAATAGCTTTAAAAAAGTTTAAAGCGCATAGTAATAAAAAGAAAGTAAAGAAGTAGGTGTAAGCTAAAGTAAGTAAGCTATTCTAAAGGCGCTGTGGATAGTGTAATTAGACTAGGTATAACACGTAAACATATAAGTAAAAAGTAAAAGTAGTATCTAAATAATATTCTAGGCTATACTATACTATATAGTGCTAGAGCGGGTTGTTATAGGCTATAATAGAGTTTGTTGTAGTGTAGTCTTAGCAAAAGTAAGCAACTTAGGTGTGTAAGCAACTCGCCTGTAATGTACGTTACTTTAGAAGTGTTATATTTTATTTAAAAGCTTAAAGTATAAACTATATTTAATATTCTTTTAACATATTTAAGTAGTTTTATTAGAAATATATTAGTGTAAAAAGAGTAGTTTAGTGTAGTCTTAGCAAAAGAAAGCAACTTAGGTGTGTAAGCAACTCCCCTGTGGTGTATGTTACGTTACAAGACTAATTTCTTCTTTGCAAAACGCAACGTCTTGTAAAACTGCTCTCTTTCTCAACGCCCCCCTTCTCTTCTTTAGAGCGCTTCAGCTCCTTAAACTTTTAGAACAGAGCTTAGTGAATAGCTAGACTAGACAGTACCGTTAAGCCTTCTATCTGAATACAGACCTTACGCAGAAAACATGTTAGTTATGTTGTTGCTTCAAAGGGGCACAGGAAGCCTCCCACAAAAGTGCTGCATGTTCAAGATCCTACCTTGGCTTCTCCCACCACTCTTTCAGCTTGCAAGACTGATAAACCACACCTTCTTCCTAATTGCGAGTGGCAGGAAGATCGAGAATCTTATCCTAAACACAAACCTTACTTCAAAGTATACGGTCCCAACTTCAAGCAAACTTCACACAGCATAAAACACAGGACGAATTTATTCTAATCGACACATCAAACACTTTCAATAAGCAGAACAACAGTCATTATCCATCGTCATTCATAACTCGGTTGCCCGTAGGCCTTCTCGGCCGCCGACGCCAGGGTATCTTCATTTCTAATATACAAAAAAAACTTTTCGACGTGCCCCTAATCATCCCCAAAGTACCTCCCATCCACCATCTCAACGCCCGATCATGGTAAACAGGGTGGGGCTGAGGAAGCAAGGCTCACGACTCAGTCCTTCTTCCTTAGGAACCGACGACTTGCCTTCCTTCTCAAACCGCCCTTCTTCTCCTCCCCCCCTGCCAATTTGGCATGCCCGGACATCGGTTTCGCGTTCTCTGCGCGCCAGAATGCACGCTTCTCATCGATGACGCTTTGCGTCAACGAGCCGAAGCCCTTCTTGACGAAGGCCAAATCATGCAGGACGTTCGGATCCAAACATCTCCGCGGCAGGTTCTGCACAATTTGGAACAGCTCTGGGCTATCTGGGGACACTGCGCGGAGTTTGGGCTCCCCAAGCTTGAAGATGGCGAGGGCGTAACGAAATAGAGCGCGGGGCCCCTCATAGAGGAATGCGTCCCATACACGGAGAACAGTCTCAATAGGCAGAGCCCCGACGAACAGCGACATGAACCAGCTGGTGCAACTGATTGAGACGGACGGAAGGCGCTGGAATTTGCTGTCTGGGTGGGATGACGCCCCAAGCCCCCGATTTATGGCGTCGGTATCGTTGATGGAGGTCCAGACTTTCGGAAGGTAGTCTTTGACTAGCATCATTAGGACGTTGACTTCAATATTGGTGAGGGATCGAGCGTGAGCGCCCGGGAGGTGGTATTGGGTTATGATCGTGAGGAGAACGAATACGCGCTCGCAATCGCCGTCAAGGAACAAGAGCAGGAGCCCGGCAATGAAATTTAGGCTCTGGCAGTAGCCGATGGACGGGTTATTGAGTGCAAAGCACTGGAGGACCTCTCGCAAATCTTTGATCATCTTAGGTTCTTCGTCAGATTCGCCAGTCGGATTCTCAGGAGTCGGTTGGGGATCTGGCTTAAAGCGGTCGTTATCGGGGAAGGTTCGGTGGAGATCGCGCTCGATAAGTTCGCGGTCAATTTCGTTGAGTTCGTCTCGTCGCAGGCGCAGCATTGAGTATAGTCCCGGCATCTGGCTCAGCACATACGGTCCAGTCGAGTAAAACCACCACATATTACCCCTCCACTCCGGCGGATATCCCTTCCTCGCATAGCGCTTGACCTTGTCACAACGTTCCGGAAATCGGACAGGGAGGATACCGGCGTCGAGAAGAATGTCTTGCTTCTTCATGAGAGCCTGCCATTTCTGTCGCCGACGCCCGACATGGACTTGATATCTCTCATACCAGTCGTCGTATTCCTTGACACCGATGAGCTGGGTCTGCTTCTTGAAGCCGTAGTGGTCACGCGGGACACCCTCTATGGACATCACCACTAAGGGCGACGTAGGTGAAGGAGGTGAAATAGGTGAGGCTTCCGTCAGGGGAGAATTCGGCCTAATAGAAGCTTGGTTCGACGTAGCACTGGTCTGGAAATTACGCTGGTTGTCACCAGGGCGTTCAGGGCCAAACGTATGGGACTTTTGCGGTGGGCGCGGTAGGGTGGTGCCAAGATCAAACATCTTGCTTCGTCGGTCCATGAAGTCAGCGGAGTTACGACGGGGGACGTGGTCATCGGGAGCCACTGGGAACGGCTCAGATGACTTCGAGGCAGGTACCTGCACGGCTAGAGCAGGCCGCTTCCCTTGTGACCCCCTATTTTCATTTCCTGGATTGGATGCGTCCTTCGTCGCATACTTCTTGGAATACGTTTGGATCTCAGCCCAGTCCTGACGGGATAATCTGGATTTCGCAAGGGGAAGTTTCGGCAATCGCTGCATTTCCAGCAGCTCATTCCGAATCGTCTCTCGTTTCGACTCACTACGAACAGGCCATACCGGTACATGTGCGAGCTCAATTGGGCTGTTTGAAGGACTGGGCGTGAACTTGGCGGAACTCGGATGACGGCCCTCTTGCAACTCGGGACTCTTGCGGCCGGCTGTCTCACTGGTACGATGATATCCTTGGAGCTCAGGACTGTTCCTAGATCCCGTCTCGCTTTGTCGACGGTGGCCTTGGAACTCTGGGTTGTTTCCAGATCCGGTTTCACTCGGCCGCCGCAATGCTACTGGTTTATACACATCTACAGGGCTATGAAGTGAACGTGTATCGCTCGGCTGCTTGTGCGATGATGCGGGTAAGTCTGGACTGTGGTGTCCTGATGCTCTGCTGGGACGACGCCACGGATTGACAGTACTATTGGAACTCTGGGGAACTCCTCCATCACTGGGCCGTCTTCTCTCTTGACTGGTGATCTCAGTTGGACTCTGGGGCATTTTTCCTGCTCCGCTTAGGTGCTGCCATGAGTTCCGGGTCTCGGTTGGGCTGTGATTGGTCCGCTGTGGGCTCTGATATCCCGTAGGACTGTACGAAAGTGTAGTGGGACTGAGTTGAAGAGGAGGAAGAAATGGAGCCCCCTTACTCTGTCGCTCTGGACAATTGTACGATTCCTGGCCACTGTTAGGCCTGGAATGCTCATTCTGGATGGAACGCGAGTCTTGGACCGTATGTTTTCCTGTGTCTAGAGGAGAAACTGAACGCCGCCCCTGTGGAGAACCTTGCTGCGGCGGCGGATACCAATTGGTGTCGATGTACGATATTGGACGAGTCTCGCGTCGCTCATGCAAATGCTGGACTGGATGTGATTCGGCAGCATTCGAGACTCGCTGTTCATGTTGCGGGGACGCACTTGATGAGCGACGGGCCTCTGTAGCTGGGGAACTAGTTGAGGAAGTATCTTGCCGTCTATGTTGGGTTGGATCCTGAGTCTGCCGTCTATGCTCTTCCTCGTCATCGTCATCAAAGTACGACTCAATGACATCTGCAGCATCATACGAGTCAATGATGTCAAGGCCTGCATAGCCATCTTCCTCACCGCCTTCGTCTTCTAGGCCCTGACCATCATAATTTGCAATGCCCTGACTATCTGTTCGCTCAGCTGAAACCAAACTGACATGGGCGTCACTGGTCGAACTGCGCCCAGTTGCGAAACTGCTGCGTTCGGTGCCACTGGCCTCGACGAAACTGGAAGCATTGGTCCATCCAGATCGAACGCTGGATCGCGGCTCTTCGGCTCGAAGCTGACGGAGGGGAGGTTGTTGCTCGGCGTGAGACCAATTAGGTTCTCCTCTGTTGGGTCGGTATGCCCCCGACAAGTTGGTCCTGTCTGCTCCCCGAATAAGTCCGTAGTCCGGGATCGACGCTGCGCTTCTCAATGGAGGATGTGGTGAGAATCCAGGCTGGGACGACGATGTAAAGCCGCGTGGTCTGGCTTGTGTATTTCCCAAAATATCCTCGCTAGGGGCTGCCCATCCAGCTTCGTTCTGATTCACAGGGTTGCTTGCCAAAGGATTAAACATGGCCCTCGGATTCCCTGGGAGGCTCGTACTGCTGGGGTGACGCATCCCTCCGGACATCATAGAGAAGGTTGGGGAAGGGAGAGGCTGTTCTGCTCGCGGATATCCTTCGTTTAGTGGAGATGGCGCGGCGGCGTGGCGGAGAAGAGAAGGCGCTCGCTGTCGTGGTGGCAAATATGGAGAGGGAAGCGAAGGTGGAAGAGGCGGACTTGAAGACGGTGATGGGCTGTATGTCGGTCTCTCGTAGGCAGGGGGGAGCGGGGCACCAGTCTGCACATTCGCCGGGTGTTTGGACCGTAGTGATCCAAAGCCTTTTCTCGCCGGTGCTGCGTATGGGTGTAAGGGTTGCGGGGAGGCTGGTGGAGTAAACTCGCTGCCCGGAGGTCGATATGGGAGGTATTGTGGTCTCGGGTCGGCGGTAGGCTCATGGCCAGAAGTGTCAGCCTTCGGGTCCGTCATGGCGACCGAATTAGTCGATGGGGATGCGGGTGAGCTCTCGGTTGCGTGGACAGTCCATCAGGTTAGCGGATTGAAGGAGATAAGTAGGCTTTCGATCGTCCTGAATGCCCAAAGCAGCTTGAGCGAGAGGTGTGGAGAGTGGAGGACGGAGTGCTGCGCGGTTTCGACGAGGTCGCAGCGCTGTTGGGATGAGGAGTGGACAGAGGTGATGACTGCGGTTGAGGGCAGAGTGGTTCTTCTGATCGGCCCGGTAAAAAGCCAGCTCTGAGAGCGCTGGAGGTCGGGGCAGAGGTTGCAAGGTGGTCAAGCTCGTGGAGATCTCGCTAGGCCGGCAGGGAAGAGGCCTCGAGGGTAAACGAATGTTGAAACTCGCTGCGGAGCTAAAATAAAAGCGAGAAGCGTTGTATTCGAGAATAGAAGGGAGCAAAGGAGCGTGTGCGGAGGACGCGGCGAGGTGTCTCAGCAGGAGACAATGGTGAAGGAGTTCAGTGTCAAGCCAAGCTGGGAACGGTTACACGATGCTAGTCTGCCATTCACGACAAAGTGTTCGGCGCTACCGGCCCCAAGCGCAACGGCATCCCGTCCACATAAATTAGGTCGGAGCACGACTCTGCAGCCAATCTCGGACTCCCCAGAACCGGCAGGCTGGCCTTTGTTCTTCCAAATCCAAAAGCCAGACATACTCCGGAGCCCGCTCCTCTCTGCAATCGTGCATTGCCTCCCGCCGACCTGTCTCTCGCTCTCTGCGGCTGCTGCTGTAAACATTCATTTGGTGGCGACAAGCCTACGCGACGCGAACAAGGCTGACCCAGCAGACGGGTGATCTTCCTCGCCCTTGCGCTAGACCCTCTTCGCCCAAGGGATCGCTTTCCAGAAGCTCTGCAGCCGCTCACAAGCCACAGCACCCCCCATCATGACCATGACCATGGGCATCTTGACAGCTGCACTGTGACATTGACGCGGTGTTGGTTCACTGCATTGAAAAGGGAGTGTTTCAGGGGCTCTCTCTGCAGCCTTGCAGTTGCTTCTGACAGTGCCTCGAGTGAGAAAAACCACCGTGAGATGCTGACTCGTTAATATGAGCATTTCGATAACCGCACCTCCATGTTGTCCGCGCTCGAAGCCCTAGGCCTGGAGGAATGCTGACTTGAATAAATTTTCTGTGCCCTTGCTCCCCCAAAGTGAACAGTCCTCTCGTTCAGCCCCGTGACGAACAACCTAAGCAGGAAATAGAGCAGTGCGTCACAATCAGCCGCCTCACATTTCCCGGTCACCATCCTGGACTGCTCGATGTAATCGTCCGATCTGTGCCTCTTGATCCCTTCTGACGGCATTCCCAAGCGACCAATACTTCCGACTGCCGGGGTTGCACACAGCGCGCCGTATTCATTTTACCAGAGACCCCATGCATTGCCTACAAAATCAGCTATGGAAATGCAAGAAGATCCATTGGGCCAAAATCTCCAATTGCCTCCAGTCCACTCGTATCTGCCAATACAGCATTCCGGTCAGATGCTAGTGTCGCCGAACGCCCAAAAGATGCAGTAAGGGGGAATTCCAAATACCGCCTACCACGAGACCCCTCACAAGGTCTACTTCGCATATCGCTTGACCCAATCCTTCGCTGTCTTGTCGAACTCCTTGCGATTCTCTTTGTACTCGTTCGCGATAGACGGCTCGATGGCATCGTCGGCATTCGGCTCGATCAGGAGAGTCTGAATGAGGCGGAGGACAGACACGACCTTGTTGGGCGGCTTCCACTCGTCAGGGCGCAGCATTCCCAAGCACATCGATCCTTTGTCGTCGTTGCTGACGTTAGGATGGTATATCTTAGTCTTGAAGCTGACGACGGGGGGCTTGAAGGGGTACTCGGTTGGGAACGTCATCTTCAGCTTGAAATGTCCGCCCTACGGAGACTCAACAGTTAATCCCACTCAGTAAAAGGAGATGCAGTCATGGACAACGTACAGAGTATATTGACTGCTCGGGGCCGTCCAGGAGAATCTCCCATTCCGTCATATTCTGCTCGTCGAAGTTGATCTTCATGCCCGAAGGCGTGTCTTTCATACACTCCCCGTACTCCTGAGGGCTATTAGCTACCGTGCACTGGTGAAGGTATGAAGCATGCAACTTACCTTCATGATCCGCTTCTTTGCTCCAGCGCTCATGGTGGCTGTGGGTTGTCTCGTGCGGGCGTTGTGTGCAGTCGCGCAGGTTACCTGAATGTGTTGGAGGGGCTGCAGAAGGCGGGGAGGTTTATAGGGTCCAATGAGCCGAGGAACTCGAATTCTAGAGGTTTTGTTGATAAGATGAGCGTGATGAAAGTCACTAGGCCCTCGCAAGGTGAAGGCGAGGTCGTTGGGAGGTAAAACAGTGTGTGGGCCTTGGTGGGGAAGGATGATGATGAAGAAAGCAGGTGTGCCCGCCAAACCTTCTTTCCACCTCTGAGAAACTGTCGCCTGAACCGCCTGTTTTCCACAACATCTCACACTATACCATCCTTTTGCGGGCCTCTTCTCACTAAAGTCCAAGATGGTCTTTTGCATCCAAGTAGAACCCGTGCAACCTCAAAATATTCTGGCGGAGCCCTCATTTGCTTTGGAAGACCATGGTCGAGATCCAGACTAACTTGAATCCAATTATAGCCAACCACGCATACAAGTACATCAAACCAGCAAAGAAATAGGGTTTTTAATTTCACAAACATATAAATAGTCGCTCGCATGCCATCTCCGCTAGCTGAACAGACTCGAAGATACACCAAACAGGAGCATTTCCAACAACACTGCCAACATGTCTTGGGTCCACTAATCTTTCCTAGTCCTAACCCCTCCTTAGACGAGAATGGAATTCATTGCAAAGCAACCTCCCGCTCGGCGTCATAGACGGATAGCAACAACAAGAGGCTGGTATATTGCTGGAGGCGCTAAAGATCTTCAAGCTTGATCCCAGTATCTACTCCGCCAGCGCTACGACAGCGTAGAGAGATGTGATACCCTTATTCATTCCTTCAGGGCCCAGCGCTTTGGTGACGACTTTGGGGCTGACTGCTGTGAGCCACGATGGAGGCCGCCTGCATACCCGCCGCTACATCTCTTTCAGTTTGAATGCCATATTTCGTGCGACGCTGGGCAAGAACAACGATAAGGGTGGGTCGCTTCTGAGGCAGAACGAGCTGAGGTGTTCAGCCGCATTCTGTCATATCCCTGTTTTCAAGTTGTTTCTGATTTGTTTCTTCTACTCACAATGAGGCTGAAGGCGTCGTCAGGCATCGTGTTGCGTTGTCGGCTTGGCGGATTTCTTGGGCAATGAGATATCAACTTGCATGGGAAGGCATATTCCCCATCCGCTATCGAATCAAGGACAAGCAAACAACGCGGCCTGTCTGCCTGGGACCATTTTCTACCCAGTAACAGAGCGGAGGAGCCAATTGACGAATCGAATGCGCGATAAACACAGCCCGATGCACGGATCAAGGTGGCAGGCTGCAGGGGAGGTGACCTTGGCAGGGCCATGTATAAAAGGCCGCCCTCCCCCACAATCTGTTGGCACGCCTCTCGACAAGCCAGAGCCTGACAAACCGCTGTGCTGGATCTTCACTACCTCGTGTTGATTCACACAAAGTCCTTTCGGATCCAGCATTTTCTCTCTGAAAGTGCGAAATCTGAGGGCTTCCGGAGCTCCTATATGCAAGCTGCGTCAATCTAACCTGTCCGCTCTCTTTCAGTACTTCCGTCGCTCGCTACGATCCCTCTCTTCGTCCAAAATGTTCGGTAAACGCTCTTTTGCTAGTTCGAAAGAACGCTCGGGCAAGATCACAAAACAGCCGAAGAGATCGTTTCGCGAAGCCTCAAAACAGAGGCAGATGATCGAGAAGATAGACTCGCGGATGGACAGTCCGATGATGGAGAGGTGTGATCCCACCGCCTTTCAAGCTCGAGTCTCGTCCCCTGATGTAGTTGAATATAGTGTTTCCCCGAGTCTCACCTCGGCCATCGTGACCATAGTCGTTGGTTCCGACCAGCGACTGTTCGCCGCACACGAAGACGTCCTCTCCCATTCCCCGTTCTTCGCCTCGGCGTTGCGGGACCAGTTCTTCGAGTCGTCCAATCGTCGCATCGATCTGCCGACGGAGGAGCCCGAAATCTTCTCCTGTGTTCTCGAGTATTTGTACAAGGGAGACTACTACCCGCGCTTGGTCCATGACAAGCGCCGCCAAACCTGGATGCTCGAGGGTGCAGTGTCCTCGCCCGACCCCAATAAAGGCGGCCGCGTAGCCGCCGTCGAGCCCACAATTTTCCACTCCGGTGTTGGCGACGTCATTCTCCGCGACACAGCCGTGTACTGCGCGGCGGAGGTGTACGGCCTCGAAGAGCTTAAGCGGCTCTCCCTGCGCAAGCAGGGCCTGCAGAGCGGGATTGAGGTTGGCACCATTCTGCGTAGTGCGAGGTATGCCTACGAGAGCACACCGGACAGTGACTCACGACTACGCGCTCATTATCTAGCGCTAATTATCCGCAGTCGGAAGACGTTCAAGCGTAGTGGAACTATGCAGATGGAAATGGAGATTGGGGGAAAATTGTTCTTTGACTTGTTTGTGGCCATGTGCAATCATATCGATGATATCGTGGATGTGACGTGAGTTTCCCATTTCGTTCCCGGTTATGTCAGAGATGAGATCCTCTGTCTGTATGCGCGACGCACATTGAAAATTCGTTTATTGACTATCTGCACGAACAGAAATGCTCGCACCCCGAAATCAATCTAAAGATCACAATCCTCAACGCTCGTCAACGGCGCACGCAATAACGCACGGAGCCTGTTCGTTATCAGATACCCCCCAAATTGGTCAAGTTAAGCAAGTAACTCGCATCTCGTCTCTCCCCCAAACACCCCCCCCCCCGTGGAAAGGATTGACTCCCCTCCTTTTTGGCGCTTTCAAGGGGATTAACGGCTTGCGGTTGCATCTTTCGGAGTTTTGTTGTCAAATTTCCCACTCCCTCTTGTTGTGTATTGCTTACCCCAATCTCCCACCATCGCTCACTCACGATCTCACCTTCCTTAATTGACACCCCCGCCCGCGGAAACGACATGCTGCGATTTGCATCTTTACACGAATTCCCCTCTCCTACCTCCCTCCCCTCTATGTAGATGCTATCTAAGCCTTTCCCTGGCGCGCTAGCGCGTTAGATGTGGCGCAGACGGCCTCTTTTAGAGGGATGCGGGGGGCTGGGAGAGAGTACTTGGACACCTGAAATTGAATTTCCTTTGTCATTGCACTGCACAGGTATTAGGAGGGTGGTGAGGGTGTAGTAGTGTGTTGTTGCGAGCGGGTGGAAGCCCATTCAGGAGGGAAAGGAATGGAGGGAAGAATGCATAGTTCCGTGATTGTAAGAAGCTCGTTGCTGGAAGGACCCCGAGCGGTTGATGGACAGGACTGGACTGCGTCTGGCGGTGTTGGCCACTGGGGTTCGGAAGCGGGTAGATTGCTGATGACCGCTTGGATGGCTAGATTGACTGTGGATGGTTGGTGTGCGGTAGGCTGGGTAATGAAGTGATTTAAGCCGCCGCTATGCTGCTTGTGTCCCTTGGTTGTGAGTGAGTGGTGCTTGTGATGTCCTGTATTGTGAAGTTTAATATCTGTTTTGTACATGTCCGTTGTTTCCGATGTTGAATCGCGGTGGCTGATATCTGGTGGAAGACTGCTTCAGATACGATCTCTCTCCCCAGCATTGTGATGTGATATGATGTGACGATTTTGTTCGCCATCCACATGCAGTCTACGTCATGGTCCGGGCTTCCAATACCTTCTCCCGTTTCAGCCTTCCAAATGCTATGTCGTGCATATTCCCCCTTTCAGTTCAGGCTCCTAGAACGGGAAAATCTACGTCTATGTGACATGTATGGTTGAACTCGGGTAGCAGTCCCGCTATGTTTGCGATGTCTCTGGGATGCGATGCGGCCGTGTCATGTGGCCTCAACATCGGCTTCAGTATTTAACACCACAGCCGCTTTGGCTTTTCGCAAGCTAATATTTGATTATATTGTCTGCGCTGTACCACAGAGCTGGAGAGTTTAGTGTAATTATTGCGGTGGGGATAGTGTGGGGAAATATTATGGTGTAGCGAAGGAACAAACTTGTATCAGGAGAATGTAATCTTCCTCAGGAACTGTAGATTAGAGGCTTTGGGAATGGATCGCGTGGATTTGGCGACGAACTTTGTCGGAGTCAGGAACCGCCCGGCGCTGGAGCGTAATTGAATCATTGCTGGGGAAACGGGGGGACAGTCGCGGAAGGTATTCCGAATTCATTCTTTTGTAGTGAACACTATGTTTTCATTTCATGTCATACCCCATGTAAGATCAAAAAGAGCCACTCAGCTAGCTAGAGCAGCTGATCGACAAGTCGACTGAACCCGCATCGCTATGCCATCCCCTTGCTCCATTCGTGTTCTAACCACTAACTACATTCATCATCAACCACTAGCGTAAACAAGTCAGGAGACATGATAAAAGCAGAACAAGACCAAAGTCAATCGCCCAAGAAGTGCTAAAAGCGAGCGCGTACGTCGCCTAGATATCGCAGAGCATAGATAGATGTTTCGCACCAATTAACAATAATGGATGTGGCAGGCATATCATGAGCGCAAAAGCGCGAACAGCAATATCAAAGAAACTAAACCGCGCAAGAGAGAAAGAAAAGGGAAAAGGAAAAAGGAAAAAGGAAAAAGCAAGTCCACTTGCATACATGGAAGTTTACAAATGGACAAGGTAGGGCAGGACAGGGATTTATGCCGCCAACATACCTCTTCGCGCGAATGTGGGTGCCCATGCTAGTAAGCTTTTGTGATGCAGAGTGGCCATAATAGTTTTTGGGGGATATTGCAAGAAAGAAGACCAAAAAAAAGGAGAAATAGAAAGAAGCCCCACTAGAAAGGGGCAGTAGGAAAGTATGATGTAGATTCTCATGACCAGAAGCAGCATACACGACATGCTGCTTCTCGTATCAGCAACGCGTACAAGTACATAATTAGAAATATGTGTTGCCTAGAATCGGAAATTCGTCACATGCTTCATTGCATTCGCTTTCTCTTCCTTGCATCATCCGGGTCGTCCTCGTCCGCGCGCTCTGCCGTCTCAGCGGGATTAAGCAGAGAATGTACATTAGATGCCATACTTGAGCGTCGCGTCGGAGGGCCTGGGGTGTCAATGCCTTTGAACGGGAAACGAGCCCCCGGTAGCGACCAACTACTATCTGCGCTTAACGTGGATGGGGTGGTATCGCTTGTCAAAGGCGGAGTGCCTTGACGAGATGACTGTTGACGAGGACCGCGGGGAAGTTGGTATTGCTCTAAAGCATCACGGAGCTGCTGGTCGCCGCCTCCGATAGGAGTCCGATGTGGTGACGAGGGCCACTGGGAAGAATTGTGTCCGGATGTATAGGGCGAGTGCGTCGGCGGTTGTGGTTGCCAGCCATGGGTGCGAATATCTGCCGATGTATGCCGCCTATACAGATTATAGGGAGGGGAGGTACCACTTGCGCCTGGATGCTGAATAGAGGGTGGAGGAGGTGGGGGTGGCTGGTGACTCGCCGGGGTTCTGGCAGAAGAAGGAGAGTAATTACCCGTGCCTATTGAGCCATATCGACGCGGAGAAATCGCCATATGGGCCGGGACCGGAGGCCTAAATGGCGCTTGGCGCGAGTTGTTGGCCAACGAGCCTCTTCGCTGCTCCGTGATATTGTCCTGGGGTACTTGCCGCGGGGAAAGAGGGGGCTGGTTCCCATTGTCGAGCTGCAGGAAGTAGGATTGACGAGCAGAGAGGGGCTCCTGCGGTTCCTCAATGGCGCGCAGCATCTCGGTTTGCCGAGCAATATCTCGCTGCATCAAACACACTGCCATTGCTGTAAGTGTGTCGTCTGAATAAGGTGTAGCAAAGTTCTTACCATCCTTGTGGATTTGATTTTCCGGGTCCGGGACCAAGGCTATAATGTAATTCGTGAGCTCGTGATTCCACTACCCCCTACATTAGCTGCTGGAGATCTGGTCTCGACACATGTACAAACCTGGTGACATCTCATCAATCCCTCCATTAGGACTTGATTTTTTTGATTGAGATAGGCGCAGCTGTCCTCTGACCGCTGCATTCGCGTGTGCATGTCATAAAGGCTATGTTCAAGGACATTGAGGCGTGATTCGACCGGATCGGGCATCGGTTCGACAGGTGCTCCGACAGGCGGACCGGCAGGGACTTTTGGGCCAGTGGAAAAGGAGTCTCTGTGGATGAGCGCATGTCTCGAAGCGCGCCGCTTGATTTCTCTCAGGCCCACCAGATCCCCTCTCTTAAAGCTGCCATTGCCGTGCTTGAACTCCCAGAGCGGCGAGTCAGGCGACCCGGTGTGGAAGACGTCGCTAACTGTAACATGCCTCAACACTATTTCGATGCAGAAGATTATGCTGCCATACCTTTATGAAAGCCATACATGTTCAGCTGTCGGACGAATGAGGAAATGTTGGTGTGCTTAAAATACGATCTACAGGGCGGGTTAGATAGATTAACTGGAGGCCAAAGCTCCCAGATCTACGTACGACAATACTTTGGAAAACTCGCTAGATGGCGACATGACAAAACTCTCGTTAGTGCTCGACCATGATATAAGATGCTGGATTGTTTGGTCTTCGAGCATGCTGTGGTCACATTAGCCGACGCTGTCGGTTGCACGGGACTCGATCGACCCACTTGTAGAGCTTGTGAATAAATGCTGTTTGGACAACTTTTGGCTGCTGTGCTGCTGCGGCCGCCCCGATTGCTGGCGCGGAAGCCCCATTTGTCACACCATCAGAGTCGCCGTTTGTTGGTTGGCTTGCTCCGTTCCTGTCCCCCACAGGACTGCTTAACACTGGGGGACCCATGGTAGGGAGGGTAGCCGGCGTGATGTCCACCTGCATTGGGTCTCGGGGCGGTGTCAATGTCGAAGACCCGGTGGACGAGGGTAGGATGGGGATGGATTTATGTATCCCCTGAGTATGCGAATCGGCGGAAAATGGACTTCGACGTACTTCTGCGGCGGAAGCCATAGCTCTCGCCACGAGAGCGCAACGTTGCTCGTGTCGTGGGGGTGGGTTTGAGGTTCGACACGAGTAACCGGTGGATAGCCGTCCTCGAAGAATATGTTCGCGCAGCCAGATAATGAATAGTATGCCCGTCCCAGAATGCTGCCAATGTGGAAGATTGCGATGAATCGCAGTCCAGAACTCCGAGTATCTAATTTATCACAGCAAAATCAACCGCCGTTATACCATTATAGAAAGCGTGGAGTCGGGCGGCGAGCGGTCTTGAGGGCCTGTTGGCTGGCTCATTCGATGTCAGGGGCGGGGGGCGATGATGGACTTCGCAAGTCTCGATCAGCGGCGGGCAACGGGAGGGAGGCCGATGGCACTTCTAAAGGGGGTCGGGCGCAGGCGGTCAGGACAGGTCCTGGGTGTTCTTTGTCGGGTTGGAGAGGTGCGGTGAGCGGACGAGAGCTGTCGGCCAGGAGGAGGAGCTGTCCTGCAGCAGAGAAGAGCCGCACACTTGTCGGGGCGCAGACAGAGGCCCGGTTCCGCTGCAGATATGCGCGATGGAAGAAGCTGAAGGGGCCACACAGCAGAAGCTTGGCGGAAGGAGGAGTTGGGGTTTTGGATGGCTGCGGACCGCGGCGATGGGAGTGTCGCAAAAGCAGGAGGCCTATGCACGGCCGCGCTGGAAGCTGCAATCTGCAATTCCAACAGAGTTCCCCTCGAATTGCGTAATGCAGGGCTACGGGGAGATCATGGCGAGGAGAGCGGAAAGTAACAGAGCGTCGTGAGGCCTCTGCGTACAAGACACGGGGGTAGGTGAGAGGGCCACTGGGGGGTTCAAATGGTCAAATGGAGATTGGGGAACGGGGTCTGGGCTTCTGCAGCGCCCGGCAAACATCCGCCTGCTGGCCTTGAAAGAAGCCGTCTGGGAGCGGTCTTGCTGCCGTTGCAGGCCCCCTGCTCCACCCACACTGGCGAGGGCAAAGCCCACGGCGCACCCGCATGCCACAGTACGGGGGACTAAGGCCCGTGGCTTGGGGCATCTCTGCCGAACAAGAGCCCCTGCACGCCGTCCGCTGAGCGACCACATGCAGATGCAGCAACTGAAACGACAGCCGGGCTCTGTCCAGGACTGCTATAACCGTCCTATAACCTTACGCGTCTCTCCTGGGTGTGTTCTATACATGCGCTGCGAGTGATACTATGCAGCTACTATTGGGAATGCTGGCCACACTGGGCCCGGGAGGAGCAGCAGCAGTAGCAGCAGCAGCAGCAGCAGAGAGACAAGACATAAACCATGGCGGCTTTGGCACTGTGCCTGTGCCAGAATGCTTCTCCGTGATCGTGAAGGCAGGACTGGACGCTTGCATGCATCCTCCTCAAACACTGTGCGCCACGAGAGGCCCACGACCGAGCTGCACGACAGACAAACTTTCTGCAGCTGGAGGCGATCTCCTTGCCGCTCGGCTGGTCTCTGTCACGCCGCGCACGGACTCAGAGTTCCTGGTATTCCCACTCCCCGCCCTTGCCCTCGCCTCTCCTCAACACTCAGCTCTGTCAACCTATGAAAGGGTTGATTGATTGCTTCACTAACCCTAAGCACTCACCAGCATAGCGCTCAGTCTCCAGCCTCCATCTATGATGGAGGTTGACACTGTAATCCAGGCTTTCAGGAAGCTTGGAAACAGCGACAGGAGAGCCGCTCTCGAAGCTCTTGCAAATGAATTCGACCCGTATGAGTGGCGTTTCATCCAAGAGAAGCTGAACAATAAGTCTTTCTCCCGCGATATTGTAGGAGCACTCCCAGTAGAGCTAGTTTCCCATATCTTCTCACACTTGGACATCGCCGCTGCCTACTATTACCAGATCGTGAGGAATCTCCAATGCCTTGTTGACTGCTTGCAACCTCGGAAACCCCTAGTGCTCATATGAAACTATTTTGCTGACCTTCGCATTATAGGTTTGCAAGCAATGGAGGGAGACGCTTCGATGCACGGCTATCGTCAAGCCGACCCTGCGAGCATGGTTTACCGACAACGACCGCCCTCTTGCTCTCGGGCCTTACTTACGAGACAACAACAATGATGATGATGGTGATGATGATGACTACGCCCTTTGTCAATTGAAGGCAGAGTATATGCATCGCTTTTGTACCGGCAAGCCACACAAGTTCTTCACCCTTAGGACCATGTTCAGCAACCCAGCTCGCGGCACACTGCTCTGCGGAGACTACATGTCTTGGGTTCCTGGTAAATTCCCTCGGACTATCAACGTCCTAAATCTGCGAACGGGAGTACTTCTTCAGGAGTCTGGCGATGCGCGCGAGAAAATTCATAAAGTCGCTCTATCAGAATCCATTGTTGCTTTCACATCCCACAACAACGTCTGCTACGTCCGGGACTTAGTGACGCGCACTCAAAGAATCTGGAAACTTACACCGACCATGCTCCAACACATTGCGTGTCGGGATCGAATGATTGCTTGCGGAGGAGTGAGCGAAGGCATCGCAAAGATATACCTGATCGACTTCGACAAACCCAAGGGACGAACCATCGACATTCCGATTACAGAGGCTCCATTCGCTCATCGTAGGACTGAGTAAGTGTATCTTAATTATGTCTTTTGTTGAAAACTTTAGGGAGAGAGCATATTAACTCATGTGTATTAGTTCTCCGAGCGAATATCCTATGGCCTTGCTTCCGGACCCTACGTCACAGACTGTTGTAGTCTTTTCAAGCGACTCTTTCCGGCCACATACTCCACATGTAAGGACCGAAGCCACTATCTACTACAGTAAATTCGCCATCGACGGCAAGCGACTCCTCGATGACTCAGTCACCTTCCCGAATCTCGGATCTATCTGGCTTCTGGGACTCTATCCAGTCGACAAGGAAGGTCGATTTGCTCTAGCGGCCAATTGCCAAACAACATCTGATCTAACTAGCGAGTATCCCTACAGTTTCAAATTCGATAGCAAGGTAGCAGCCTTTACGAACCCCCACTTTCCTAATTCTGAACTTAATCCATGGACTGAGCAAGGAGTCGCATGGTGGAAGGATACATTCTTCCAAGTCCTATCTTGCAACAGCGACACAGTTACAATTTGCCAGGGCACTGGTATTCCGCTTCAAGGAGGTGGACGTCTTGCGACAGAGACCAAGTGCAGCGACGAATCCGTCCGAATCTTCGTCAACGGCTCCTTCGTTGTTGTTTTCCACCTTAATTCATGTTTGATTGATATCTTCTGTTTTGAGGCGTCTATGCCGTTTCCAGAGGGCAGCTCCACCTATAGGGTCATCAGTTCATTTTAAGGTAAAAATGTGTGTGGATTTGGAATCCATTTGGTTCAGTCTCTCAAATAGAAGAAAAGAATAGCTTGTAGACATCCTTGCTAGACTTTTGAAATAGTGTAGTATGTGAATTATGGCTGCGTGGATAAATCGTGAAGTCTTGAAGGTAGTAGTGAAAGTTTAAAAATTGTAGTTACCGTTCGTAGAGAAAGAAATCGGCACCCTTCTTTTTTTCTTGCAGGGATTGATAGGTTCTGGACTCAGTTCTGTATGGATGTATCGACCTTCTTGCCGGTGTTTAGGAAATAATTAGAACCTAACTTGAGTTTGTCCCCATGAATGCTGAAGTCAACTTGGCAGCAGTAAATGCTAAGAAATAATAATTGACGGGTCGCGCTCTGGAACCCTGTTCGTCAAGCGCGGGGGGCGTCCCTCGAAGTTACATAGTCCCACGCCTTCGGAGCCCTCCGACTTCGTTGACTCTCCGCATAGCAAAATTTGAGAGCTTCCACAACCTACTCCAGAACACGCCGAGAAGGTATTTCGAAATGATTGAAAAGATCTACGTTACATACAACCAGGCACGTGTTACACTTTCCTTACATGCGCTCAGTCTGAAACACTGCCCACCCCTCCTGCGGGCGCCTCCTCGGGACCTCCGCGTACCGCTACACTGTGTCTTGTACTACTTCCAAGGTACTGCATGAGCATCATGCTCGACGCCCTGCGCGTCTGTGGCGTTGCATGACACGATCTCACCATATGATGATAAGATCTCTAGGGTACCCTTAAGATCTGGCCCGCAGTGCCCCCCCGAACCGGGCTGCAGGCAAATTTACCCAATTTACCCCTACAGTTAACTGACGACAACTATCATTAGGTCCACAAGCTCTGTCAGAACTCGGCGGAGCGCATTCTGAATGAGTTCCACCCGAACCTCATGATCGCTATTGGCGGTGGAGGTTATGTTCCCGCCCGCATCCTGCGGTATGCGAACCATAGTCACATTTTGGGAGCCCGGCGCTGATACGATTGTGCTACAGATCTTTCCTCAAGAAACCTGGATCTCCGAATATCCCTATTCAAGCAATCGGTCTCTCCCTCTACGAGTCCCTCGGGACAGATCCAGTCGAGGAGCCCGGAACCAAGGTCACCCGGACGCAATGGCTTGATCTCAGCAGCCTCGAGATGGCGAACCTTATCGGCAAGAACGTCCTCATTGTAGATGAAGTCGACGACACTCGGACGACGTTGGAGTACGCGGTAAAGGAGCTCCAGAAGGATGTCGAGGAGGCACAACGGAGGTTGGGTCGCGAGGACGAGAAGACAGCGTTCACAATATTCGTACTGCACAACAAGGACAAGACGAAGAAGGGCACGCTTCCAAAGTCGATCATCGGCGACGGCAAGTACCTTGCAGCAGAGACGGTCGGAGACGTCTGGATCTGCTATCCCTGGGAAGCAACGTAAATGTTACTCCTTTCTCAATTTATGCTCTATACTGATGTGTGTGTAGCGACATTGAGGAGCATGACTGCTTGGCACATGCTCAAAAGAAAGGCTGAATGTCCTTCGATTCCTTCATTCGACTTTCATGCGCAAGATGTGATGGGGATATAGGCGCTTCGTAATTTACAGATAAAATGGCAGTCAACAGCGGAGTTAGTAGATCATTTGGCGCGATCTACTTTCTCATAGGGCTGCCAGCTGCTGCAGTGTGGCTGGCTTATCATATAGAAGGGCTGGTATTGCACCCCCATTAATGAGACCAATTCCTAAGACAACTATAATTGATAAATGGTTCGGTAAGAACTATATGACCATCCATGGCTCTTATGGCTAGCCATTGTGCTGAAAAAATCCGTCTCCTTAAGCCTTTTATTTAGTCTGCTTTTTGCTCCATCTCCTTGTTTGAACCGAACTCTTTAGCAAGCATCTATACACTACCTCCCACTTCCAAAACGCAATCAACCACCAAGCTCAAATTCGTCTCCGGGGCCCCATCACAGACATCCTGTTCTCACACCCCCACCTCAAAAGCCCCCTCCACCAAACCCCAAAACTCTTCCACAACCTCCCTCTGCCCCTCCCCAGCCCTCACAGCCATATACCTCCGCTCATCAATCCTTGGCTCCCAATTGCCCGGATTTGCATCCACCATTAGCCCGCCCGTCTCCTTTAGGATTACCCATCCTGCACACACATCCCACGCCCAACATCCAGCTTCCCAATACACATCTATGCCGCCACTCGCCACCGCGCAAAGATTCAACGCCGCGGAACCAAACGAGCGGAGACCATGCACCATTCCTCCGCCTGCTTCCTTCGTTGCAGCAAGTTTACTAAACGTCCGCGATTTTACGGCGAAGTCATTGCCAGAGCGATCGCTGCCCCATTCGATGGCCACCAAGCATGAGCTTAAGCTTTCTAGCGGCGTGGGAGCGCGCAGGGGGAGTCTAGTAGTGAGGTTGAGGAATGCGCCGTGGCCTTTAATGGCGGAGTAGAGGGTAGATGTGAAAGGGTTATAGACTATGCCGATTGTGGGGATGAGGTTGAGAGAGAATCCGAGGGAGATGGAGACGTAGGGGTATGTGTGGACGAAGTTGGTTGTGCCGTCTATAGGGTCCACTATGAATGTTGGAGCAGGGGTCAGGAAGTCTCCTGGTTTGTATGTCTCCTGAGAAGTGGATTTCAGCACTTGCGAGGGGTTGTTAAGGATAATGGGAGCCGGGGTAATGTACCTCGCCCATGAATTCGAATGTGGGATATTTTTCCTGGAGGGAGGTCGAGACAAACTTTTCGACTGCTTGATCGGTTTCAGTTACAAGGTCAACGGCTAGGTATCAGTGTTAGACTTTCCTAACTCAATGGAGACAGAAGCGGTAAAAATAGAGCTTACAGTTCTTCTTGGATCCTGCACCCTCTGTCGTAGGATGCGCGGATGTGATCATTTCCCCTGCCTTTTTGGCAATAGAGATCATAAGGTCGTGGATCTCTTGGAGATTGATGTCCGCCATAGTGATTTAGAACCTAAAGTCTATTTAAAACCAATGCCGAGGAAATTCGACCAAGAGAAGCTCTGGAGGGTGAGAGAGAACAGGGGGGTGAGACCAAGAACCAAATTACAAGAATTGAAGACTGAGATCTCTTTGCCCCTCAGTGGGGCGTCAATCAACCCTAACATTTTCCTATCGATAAGCCCCAGCGCCACCGTGGAAGCTGTTCCTGAACAATTCCAACATGTGGCTGCGAGCTGGAATGTCAGTGGCTGACTCGGCATCAAAGCACACCTCAACACCTCGGCAACTCTCCCGACCTCGCTCAAAGTCTTTGATGAGAAATGTCCACGCCTAGTGATCCCAATGGCTCAACGCGCTTCTTCACAATGGCCGATGCCATCAAGCACTTCAACAAGGTCCCCTGGGCCGCTGCCATGATAAACGATTCCACCTGGACGCCCAGGAACACCGCATCGAGAATCCCGAAACCGACGTTCGAGGACTCGTTCTTTGCGGAAACACTCGGCACGAATCGCACAATACGATATCTATTGACGCTGCAGCCCACAAAACCAGAGGAGGAGTATCCGCAAGTCAGAGAAGTAAGAACAATCATGGATCTAGGCAACGGGCTGAATGGGCATCCGAATATTTGTCATGGAGGATTTGTCGCCACAATGCTGGATGAGATATTTGGAGTTTTGATTATCGCAAACATTGAGCTCAAAATTAAGAACGCGGGACCGCATCACCCGAACAATCAGACTAATTGTTACACGGCTTGTGAGTTGCTTGTTTCGGGTGAAGAGGGTCTAAGGAGAGAGCCGGGCTGATTGTGCGAGCGCAGATTTGAACACTAATTATAAGAAGCCAACACCAGCGCCCAGTGTTGTGCTTTGTACGGCGAGGTTTGAGAAGAAGGAGGGGAGAAAGATTTATGTGTCGGGGACTGTTGGTGATGGCCAGGGGACGGTATATTCGACTGGCGAAGGGATGTTTGTGGAGACGAATGCTAAGATATGAGTATTGGTTTGCAGGTGCGGCGCTCTTGCATATATGTTCGCAGTATTGAAAGTATGTTTGCCTTCACCGTGCAGATCTAAAACTACGGCCATGTTGACAGATTCGAAGATCGCTACAGCCTTATTTCGATGCACTTTCACCCATGAGTAGACCCGAAGGAAGATTTGCAAATAGAGTCGTGGAGATAGTTGATATCTGACTACGCATTCGCATGAGTCACCTCCTTTTTAAAGAGCAGTATTGGGTACAAATTCTTGGGATAGGGTAGACTGGGATACCCATAAAGCCAGCAAAGCCACTGTATTTTCTTAGGCACCTTGCCGGCATTTCTTTGGTTGGTTCTAGGTAAGTATTTCACCTACCTAACTGCTTCCCATGACCACCTTTTCGTGCCTGTGAGTTCGTCTTAAGTAATGGTATTACCGGCTCTAACTGCACGATCTCCGAGCCCATTTTCAGCTGATCCCCTTCTTTCGAAGGAGAGACAGAAATTGCGTTAATATGACTGGTCCATCGACAAATACAGAAGGTCAATAGTCAAACATTTAACTGGTCCAAAGGAATTTTATTCATTTCTCTCCTCCGCAAAAGCAAAATTAATCTGTTCTCCGATCGCACGCTGCCATTCGGATCGATCAGTGACAGGCGTCTAGTGTTAGGATTTTCGCCAGCCATACGGGTAGGGCCCTCCTTATCCAACGGAGTAGTCTTCGCATTCTATCATACTTTTGCAATCCATCGGATCGGACGACGAGCCGCCCTTCGAGGCCTTTTCAGTTCTCATGACATCACCTGAGGTCTTTTAGACGCAAATCGAAAAGGCGCCCCGTTGTCCACTAAACGAATCACCTCATTTACGCGTGCATCCTTTTCATTTCCATCTTCCTTGGACCAGGTAACCGCAACAAGCAACTCCAAAACCCTAGTCTCAACTCTCCTGCGATCGACCATCCCAAGGATCTCACGAGACCTAACGATGTGACACTGCCAGCGGAGGTCAACAGCAGCGTTAACCCGGTAGGGGGCACGCGCACACACTAAACCCCGTCTTGAATAGGGAGGTCAAAGGAAGAGAGTTGGACGAAGTAGTACCAGGTCGAATGACAAGGTATTGTAAAGTTTCTAATACCCCGCAATCACCGCTGCCCCAGGCGGAGGAATGCAGACAGATATGGAAATGACTGGGGTAGAGCGGCTGCGGCTGCGGCCTTCTTCCTGGAAACGGACGAGATGCCTTCAGGAAAGTGGTTTCACATGATTGTTGTTTAGTGTTGCTCAGTGGTTGGACAGCTGCCGGGGATAAAGTGACGCTCCGTCCCGGTGACTCTCGGCTGAATAAGGCTAGTCTCACGTATCCCCAAAGGGCCTTTCTACGTCTCTTTTCTCCGCTGAAGTTTGGAGGATATTCGCACTACTACTATCTACCGGAATTGCATTAGACGGCTTCGCTGGAACCTTTCAACGCCCGAGGTTATATTAAATTTTAGTCGGGACCTTAGCCATGCAACGTTTGAAGGAATTAGGGTCGCCATTACACCGACAAGGCATTGCACCTGTACAAATGACCGGATCCATGAATATCAGCAGCCGGGTGTGAGGCTACATGAGTGGCCAAGTAGTTCAAATGACCATTTGTCCAAGAAGCGCAGGGATTCGGTGTGCCTCCCTACGGATACCGCCTCCCCACAAGTCAAGGGCAAATATAAAGACTTTTCGTTTCCTCTTCCTCTATCCTCCGCCTAACAACACTTCATTCCTTTGCATTTATCCTTTCTTCTCTTGCCATTCCTTTGGAGTTGTTTCTCGCGCTGTAAAATCATTAGTTATCATGCGGGTCCTGCCTCTCATCTCTTGCCTGCTGGCAGTAGGAGCCAATGCTCTTGTTGACCTTCCTATCATGAGCAGTATCATTGAAGATGCTCTGAGCTCCTTAGACATATCCATGGCCAATCTCACCACTGCAGCTCCGGTGAAGACAACATTGGCGACCATCTCTGCATTACCCACTCCCTCTGGAGCTATCTCAGTGCTGAAACCAGCGGTTGCCGCCTCTGGGTATTGGATGGCAGATATGCCGAAACAGGGTATTGCAGCCTTCAATTCCAATCCAAATGGCTATAAGGTCTGGAGAAATGTCAAGGACTATGGTGCTAAAGGTAAGTTGACGCCCTTTGTTTGATCATGTCGTAAGTAACATTAGGGCAGGCGACGGCGCAACCGACGACAGTGCTGCTATCAACGCTGCAATCACTGATGGAAATCGCTGTGGACCTTGGGTCTGCCAATCAGCTACTGACACTCCAGCCGTTGTCTACTTCCCTTCCGGTACCTACATAATCTCGCAAAAGATTGTTCCTTATTACTTCACCCAAATCATTGGTAACCCGAACAACCGCCCCGTTCTCAAAGCCACTGCTGGTTTTACTGCTCTTGGGGTGATCGATGCTAGTCCCTATGGTAATACCGGACAGCCAGGCTGGTTATCTACCAACTTATTTATGCGTCAAATTAGGAATATCGTGATAGATTTGACAGCCATTGCTCCAGCAACAGCAGCGACGGGTATCCACTGGCCGGCCGCTCAGGCAACGAGCTTGCAGAATGTGAAGGTTATCATGACTCAATCTGCGAGCTCACAACACCAAGGCATTTTTATTGAAAATGGTGAGTCAAACTAAGTTCCAAGCATTGTGTATCGGGTCGAGGTTCTTTGTTTTATGTTTATTGATGAGGCTCATTACTCCGTTCCCGTGCCTTTATCCATAGAGTGCTCGGCTAACGTAGATCAGGCTCCGCCGGCATGGTGCTTGACATTGAGACTGTCGGTGGGTTATATGGTCTTAATATTGGCAATCAGCAATTTACGATGCGAAATATTAAGATCTCTAAGGCTGTTACTGGGATCTCACAGATCTGGAACTGGGGTTGGACATATCATGGTCTCACAATTTCCGACTGCACTACGGCATTTTCCATGAAGAATGGCGGCTCGAGCAAGCAAGAGGTCGGTTCAGTCACCATCATTGACAGTACTATCACAAACTGTCCTACATTTGTAGAGATGGCGTGGTCGACGAGCGCAAAGCCCATTGCTGCTGGACAGCTGATCCTTGAGAACATTGCTCTGAGCAACGTTCCTGTTGCTGTCAAGGGAGAAGGTGGAACTGTTCTGGCTGGTGGATCCACTACAATTGCCGCTTGGGGTCAAGGCATCAAGTACACGCCCACAGGGCCGACAAAATGGCAGGGCGCCTTCACGCCTGCAAAGCGACCTACGAATTTGTTGAGTGGCAACAAGTTTTACACCAAGTCGAAGCCCCAGTATGAGGACCTCGTTACTGATTCTTTTATCAGCGCTCGAGCCTCAGGTGCAAAAGGTGATGGCAACACGGACGATACCACTGCCGTTCAAAACGCCATCAACAATGCAGTCCAGGCTAAGAAAATTCTCTTCTTCGACCATGGAGTCTACAAGGTTACAAAGACAATATATGTCCCGCCTGGTGCCCGGATGGTTGGCGAGTCATTCGCAGTCATCATGGCGTCCGGGAGCACCTGGTCAAGCAAGACGAATCCAGTCCCCGTCATCCAGATCGGAAAGCCTGGTGAGAGTGGCAGTGTTGAATGGTCTGACATGGTCGTATCTACCCAAGGCTCCACCCCTGGCGCGAAACTGATTGAATGGAATCTTGCCGCTACCTTAGGCTCAGGTCTCTGGGACGTTCATACCCGCATCGGTGGTGCTAAAGGAACCAACCTACAAGTCACTCAATGTCCAGTCGGGGCTGCGATCAAGGACGACTGCATGGCTGCTTACATGTCTGTTCATATCACGAAGACGGGGTCTGGTGCTTATTTAGAGAACAACTGGTTCTGGGTAAGTATCCCGCCACTTTTGCTGTTGATACGAGTACTGCTGACCTTCGGTAGACCGCTGATCATGACCTCGACGATGCCAAGAACAACAGCACCCAAATCTCCATTTACACTGGTCGAGGCCTTCTCGTCGAAGGCTCAAACGTTTGGCTTTGGAGTTCTGGCGTCGAGCACCATTCCTTGTACCAGTATCAGTTCGCCAATGCCAAGGATGTGTTCGCCGGGTTCATTCAGACTGAGACGCCATACTGGCAGCCCAACCCAGATGCCAAAAACCAACCATTCCCATTGGCAAGCGCCCTGAGCGACCCAGATTACAACTCTGCCTGCCAAGGAGCCTCAGGTAATTGCGACACTTTAGGCCTGCGAATCTTGGACTCTCAAAACGTCCTCATCTACGGCGCTGGGCTGTACTCGTTCTTTATCAACAACAACAGCGCTTGCAGCGGCGCAGATATCGCCAACGGCAAGCGGATTTGCCAGACCCGGATCTTCAGTGTCGAAGGCAAGTCAACTAATGTGCTAATCTATGGCCTTAGTACCGTTGGCGTAGAGAAATTGATTACGATTGATGGTAACGACAAGGCAACCTGGTCGGATACGCTCAGCGTTTACTCGGACACCATTGGACTCTTTTCCTACAATGTCTAAAGCTATCTCTAGGCCAATCTTGGGGCGATGTCGCACCCACGACTTCCATTCATGTTCATATTTATAACAGCATCTCCTTCAGTTCCGACGGAATTAAGTTCAGCATCTCGTCGGCTGGCAGGGTCGGGGATTAGAATGTTTATATCATTTAGGTCTGTGAGATACGATGTATTCGTCAACACCCTTAGGTTTCTGAATCTTGGACTGGCGGTTATCATGATATCTATTAGAGATTTCATGGCTTTGATGGGAGGCCAGCCGACTGACTTTCACCTCTACTAAAAATGAGATAGGGTCGCATAGCATGGAATGATGATCTTCAATACACCCTTCAACTTTGTGATCTTGTTTACTAAACAATAAAGTTACGCTCTATAAATGTGTTCGGTTTGCAAATCTTCTCTTTATCAGCCCCTTCGACGTAGGCAAGGTCTCAGTTGTCTCACAAAGACCCTCATACTAACATGCTCGGGGGGTTCATTAACTTTAAGGATAACATACTTAGAACAAGTGCCAACAACGAATCATACATATAAGACTTTGAAATTAAATGGCATCGCATCCATTCACTGATCTCGCCGCATCACAGCGTCGCTATTCGGTGGATATTGCCACCAAGGCATTTGGAAGGGTGGAGCAATAAAGAGAATCATGACCACCTGCAAGCATGGCCCTAGAACTTTACTTGTCGGACATACTTTGTCATAGAATGCGCAGTAGACCACCACATTTCCCATGAGTGTTACTTATATGCCTGGTGTTCTGCCTCAAGTTCGATTTGGTTAGCTGCTCGAGCTGTATATTCTTGTTGCATTACGTGCACTAACTATGCCGCCTGACTCAGATGAATAGTATGCATCGAGGGATTTAGGCGCATTCGCTACTTTCAGCTCTTTTCTTAAACGACTACTGAACGACACAGAAGTTGCATGGTGCGAAACGCATATCCACTACGGTGGCCACGCGCTTTGACTTGCCACAATGATGACTAAGAGATAGGGCGCAGTCACTATACAACAACCGTTTTTCCATCCCGAAGTCCTATCTCCTCCACCCTCACAAGGTCATGGTGAGAGCGGGTCGGCCGTCATCCAAGCTGGCGTAATTAAGGTGTTCGTCGATTTCTGAATAAGTAATCATAATTTGCCTTTATTGAAGCCTGGCGGCAGAATTTCAGCCTTGCCGACCTACATTGTGGGCTGTGGGTTCAGCCGATCCTCCAAACTCCGTTATCACAAATTACGGATATGCCAGCTTATAGCACTCTTGCAGCACCTAGCTCTGAGGTGCGATCTTCAGGTGTGATCTATTGGTGCAGCTTAGCAACCCATTCTTCTCAATAGCTTGGGCTAATATTCTCAACAGCGAACTAGGCTGATGGCTTTAAACACCCGATATTCTATTCCTACCGCATGAGCCTGTCCAAGCCCTCAGTGAAGCAATGCGACTTTTGCAACTTAGCAACACTGGCGACCTCAGCCTTACAAAGGACTTAGTAGGCAACGATACAATTCCTCCCTATGCGATACTTTCACACACATGGGGAGCCGAGGCCGATGAGGTTACCTTCGAAGACATAACACAAGGCACTGGCAAGAATAAGCCTGGCTATGAGAAGATCCGGTTCTGTGGAGAACAGGCTAGACAAGATTGCTTGGACCACTTTTGGGTTGACACTTGTTGCACTATATAGACCCACCACCGGTGACAATGCCCTACAAAATGGGCGGTATGTACCGCTGAAAATGACGGGAGTTGTCACCCAGCTTTAGATACTAAATTTAGTAAAACGTATTCTCAATTTCTTACTCAGTCAATTTTTTGTCTCAGGATCCTTGCTCCTCATCATGCAAAGAGGCCAAAATCAGGCCTATATTGAGCCGTGGCTGAGCTCATCCTAAGCAAAACTTGAGCCACCGTGATTGTGCTTGATCCTTACCCAATGCAAAGAGGCTGAAATCAGGCCCGTTTCTGAGAGCAGGCGCCAAGCTTAGGTATGACTCAGCATCTGGATTCGGCCTAGCGTCCCGCGTGACTTAAGCTCAAGCACAATCCCTCCCATATTCGTCGTCTCATTCTTATCCTTTTCATTAACCGCGTCTTCATTGTGCGCGCCATCATTTGCGAAACATGGACACGGCCTCGTCTTATGTAGACGTTGTCACATCGGTTTCTACCATCCTAGAAGAATTCAGTCATCCATTTACCATTGTCGGACAGGCTGCGAATCGATGGATGGGTTCCAACGGATGCTACGACGACGCTATCGACTTACTCCTTCGAGACGACCAGCTCACCCCTATCACGCTAGCCTTGGTTCAATCCGGCGAATGGGACTACTTTGACCTGCATAAGGATCGGCAGGACGACGAGGACTGTTATCCCGAGTTTTTAGAGTACGGTCATGACGCCGACCAAGTTTTAGAGCGCAAAGTTGGGCCAAACGACATATGGTGCTTCTTGTATATTAGAATATGGTCCGAGAAAGCTTTCCACTTGAAAGTCGACGGGGTTTCCTGGTTTAAGGCACCCAATCTCTTTACCGGCTGGCCGACAGTCGTCGAGGATCGTTTCCATCCTGCAGCCGATCGCACTGATGGTTGGTTCTTCGGTCCCAACCTACTATCACGCTGCGACCAAAGTCGTTTATCTCCGCACCCATTGGACGGCATTAGCATCCTCGTACCGAGCATCCCTTCTTATCTCAACGCAATGGTTTACCACGCAACGCAATACAAAACGGCAAAACCGCAACTTTCATTCATGTCGAAATGGCAAATTCGCAATCTGACGAGATACTTGTATCTGGAGCTTCCTGAATGCCGTCACCGGGTTCTCCTCGAAGTTGACGCGGACGCTGAGCAGTTTCTGGGGCAGTTTTTTGACAAGTACAAGAGGAAGCCCCTTTTCAATATCAATAAATCCGGGGAAGTCGTAGAAATCAAGCCATGGGTGCCGCAATCCTGATTGCAGGTGCATTCCCGATGTTCATTATAGACGGAGTTCCATCTAGTCTCATGGTATCTACAGTGCGTTTCTGGCCTTGGTGTTTGTCGGGATACTTCCTACCCTCATATATTATTATAGGCATTCCCAGGCCCTTGGTTGCGTTAGAAGTTTCTTACCCTCGTATGTCGCTATAGGCGTTCCCAGCAGCCTGGTTCATCGCATAGTTCTTCCCTTGCATGTAGTATAGAAGGAAGCTCTCAGCAAGAGAATTGTTTATTTCTCGCTCCTATCGTTCATCCTCCCTTTCTTCTTCCAAGTATCATACTATCGCTCATATTAGGTATACACTCTATCGTGTATGAACGATTCCTAGACCCTCCATAAACTGTCGTACAGCCAGAATGTTAACCTTAGAGTACAGATTTCCAAGAGCAGCAGCATCTCCGGCGAGTCAACATCCTTACAGCCATCCAACGCCCTCCCGAATAGCGAGTCTTATTGTTCGTCCCGCCTTCCGCTTCTCCAACATGCCGCATCCCACCAAGCCGATCTCCGACCCGATGAAAGCAGCTCTGCTTGAGTACTTTCAAGCTTCTATCGATCTGGTCCCGACGATTTGCGCCCCCAATTCATACTGGTTGGGGCAGCTGCCAGCATTGCCCACGGCTCCCGCCTTTAGACGGAGGATGTGGACATTGCTGGCTCTGTGGAAGCGATAACCGCTTTCCGTGCTGCAATCGATTGGGGAGGCACGCGCTTCCATATCTGCCCGGGCGAAACGATTGAGTTCGACAGCCGCCTTAAGTTCAGAGTCAGACTCGAGCTGCTCCAACTCGGCGGTCCATTCGTCGAATCAGTCTCCGCGGTCGAACTTCTTGGAGGGTTCGTCGCTGGCCTGCCGGACTTGATTTGGAACCGTGCAAAGACGATAGTCGGGCGGGGAGAGGATGGTGACATTGCGGATTTCAAGTTCTTGTTGGCAGAAGCGGAAAAGCCGGGACTGACAATCTCACTGCGAGACGACGATATGAGGGAGGTGCTAGAGGAGGCTGGGGAGGAGTTGACGGAGCGCGAGAGATCATTACTACAATCGCTTATGAAGCCGCCGCTGAAAGACGTGGCTTCTAATACCGACAAATCATAACTTTCTTATCCGCTTATATGACTACACATGTGCTATGTGTCCAGAGCGAAATCCATTACCAGGCCAAGCCCGGTTCCTTCAGTATGTTATCCCTGCGTACTGCTGCCCTGATGATCATCGCTTTCCTGAACCCAGCACGCCCAATACGGCTGAGTCGCGATCTCCTTCCGCTTGTTGTTGATCGCGTCAACGAATTCCTCTAGGGAAGAGGCTATATACCATGTTTTAGCGCGTAATGCACGGCCTCGCGTAATGCACAATTTTGGCAATCCGCGCCTTTTACTTTTAAAGCTCTAGAGACTTACACAAATTATAAATTATATAGATTTTTTATTATAATACTAATTAAATGCTATAGATTCTATTCTTAGTAATAATTTACATGTAATACCTTATAAAAAGGTTAATTTGCCTACTATGTTAAGTTCTGCCTAATGCTAGCTCCCTCTTTTTATTTAATGCTGCATTATTATTAAAATCCTTTAGTGTACTAGTAATAAGTGTAGGAGCTTTCTGCTTACCTTTTATTACCTACTAAAAGTTATTTTTAAGCTGTTAATTAACCTGCTAAGTAAGCTTTACCTTTTTTTATTAAGCTGCTTTTGTTTTAAGCTTCTATAGGTAAGCTTTTTTTACTATTACTACTTTATGCCTTTTTTTTTTAACTACACACGCCTTTTTAGCTTTTTTTACTTTTTTATACTTTACTTTTTTTTTTTTTTTAAAGCTGTAGAGCTTTTTTTTAGCATTTTTTATACTTAATAATTACATGCTTTTTAGACCTTATTTAGAGACTAAAAAGTTGCACTACTATAATATTCTAAAGGTGCTTTTAGTAGAAGAGGCTTACTACACTAGTAGTGCTTCTTTTTATTAATTAGCGCATCTTTAACCTGCTTAAGCTTACGCTAAAGAAGAATATAATATACTAAAAATAACTAGATAGTTTTCTTAAGCTTTTATATTTTTTTTTATAAAAATTACTAATAACTTTATTTAAAAGGCCTTTAACTCTTTTTTAATTTTTTATACTAAGTGCTAAGCTAGTGCTTTTACTAGAGAATAGTTACTTTTTTTACTTATAGTAAAATTAATCTAAGACTACTTATAGCTTAAATAGTAATAAACTAGTTACTTTAAAAGCACTAAAGATAGTTTTATACTTAAAAAATATTTCCTAGGCTTTATTAAACATGCTATAAAAGTTTTTTTTTAATTAATAATAGTCTTTAGTATTTATTTATAAAGCTAGCTAGCTTAGCTAAGTAGGCTAACAAAAAAAGTTTAAACATGTAGACATTAAAAAGCTGCAGCGTATAAGTTATATGTAGTAGGTATATAGCTAAGAGGATCTTATTATTATTATAGTACTTAATAAACTTTATTAAAACATGTAATTTATAGCTATCTAAAAATAAAAGTTAGTACACTTATTACACTTTTACTTTAGTCTTATAATTAAACACATGTTTAAGCTATGCTAGGCCTAGTTTATTATTTATTTAATTTATAAGTAATAAAGTAAAAAAAGCTTAATGCTTAAAAAAGTTAAAATTTTATAGCTAAAAGTCTTATATATAGTTAAAAATAGCTTAGTAGATTAGTATAAGTGTAAAAGAGCTTGTAACGGCGCAGGCAAGACAATGGGTCCGAATGCGGTGGGAATCCACTCAGAGGCATATGGGAGTGCGTGGGGACTCTGAACCTGGGAATGCCATTGACACCTATAGGCCTTGTACAAAAGGATATCGGAAAACTACCGAGCTAGCTACAGGGCGAGGTGCGACTAAATACATGAGGGAATAGAGGTAAATAGATGAATGGATGTCTTTATTACGCCCGGCTCTAGCCTAGAGGGCACTAGTAGTTTATTACATAAGCAATTCCTTAGTAATAGCATACCTCTTAATAGCCTATACATGTAAAATATCTATCTCTCTGTATTTTCCTAGCAAACTCTCCTATACCTTTTGTATTTAGTAAGTAGTAAGTATTCTTAAGGCTCTCTCCTCTAAGTGTTTAGTGTCCCTTTGTTAGCAAATAAAGCAGAACCTGCTAGCGTACAAGTGTTAGTATAGTGTAGAATTATTCTTAAAGTTGCAAGATTCTAGGAGTTTTGCAATTATATGCAGCAGCTGTGCAACAGCAGCAGTAGGCCTTGTTTATAATAGGTAACAATAGTGTGGGTTTTAAAAAGAGTTCTAGTTGCTCTAGAACTAGAGTTCTAGGTTATAGACAAAGAGGACAGGTGTCACAGTATCCTCCTCAGATCCTAGACATAACTGTATTAGACGCGTACTAGAGTATTATTAGTGCACGTCTAACATAAACATAACACAACACAGATATAAACTTAAGCATAAACTGCCTTAACACTAACTAAACCTAAAATAGGCTTAATTTATACCTAAAGCGCTTAGACTTTTAAGCTAAGTATTTAATTACTAATTTTCTTTTAAACCTTTTTATTTCTTACATAATATCTTATACTTACTATAATACTTTACATAGTAATTAAACTAGACCTTTGTAAAGCTCTATAACTTTATTTATGCATAATTATAACATTACATTATATTAAAACTTTAGCTAAAAATAGCCTTTAAATCTAATTTAATAAGCTTAGTACTTATATAACTCTAAGCTATTAAAGTAAGCTAAAAAGCCTTTTAAAAAGCACTTACTTTATAGAAAAGCTACTATATTATAAACTTTAAAGCTTTTTAAAAGAACTTTAAAAAATAGCTTTATATTATTAAGCAGTCTATTTCTGCCTTAACTTTTGTTATAGTAGTAAGAACTAAGAACTTACTAGCCTTAAAGCTTACTTAAAAGTCTAAAAATAGCTTAACTTTTTTTTACTTAATACTACCTATAACTTATAACCTTTTTAACTTAGTAATAAAATCTAACTAACTCTCTAATCCCCTACTGTTTAATAAAAAATAGAAAAACTTACCTTTCTTTTTATATAAGCTTTAATATAAACTTAAAAAAAACATAAACTAATTTCTTTTTAAACACTTTTAGTTACTATATGCCTACTTTTAACTTAACTATAATATAACAGCCTTAATTAACTTACTAATAAATAAAAATATTATTAACCTAGATTAATTTATAGCATTTTTATAAGTAACTTATAGAGACTTAAATAAAAAGTTAATAGCTTTAAGTTGCCTAAACACTTTATAATAAAAAAAAAAGCTTTACTTTACACTTTACTAAGTTCTACTAACTTATATTTAATATAAGCTTAAATAAGATAGGTCTAATTATAGCTTTATATAACTCCCTCTTAACTAAACTGTAACGCGCTATAGTAAGAGAACCTTTTCTAAACAACCTTAATATGTATGTAAACCTAATTGCTACCTATAATAATAACATAAGGTTCCTCTTTATATAAGCTCTAATACACCTCTAAACTAGCGCAGTTGCAAATAAAGACCTTAATATAATAAAAATTAATTTAAATTATACTCTAGTTAGTTCTAAAAAGTGTAAAAATTATAAAAAAAAAGTTAATACTTTAAGTATAGTAAGTATAGTTATATTTTTTAAAACTACTTTATTTTTTTTTTTAGTCTGCGCAAGTAGTGCTACTAGTACTTATTAAAGATTTTTACTATTTTAATTTTGTTTTTATAAAGGCTTTAACTTATATTTAAGCCTTAATCCTTTTTACTACTCTTAATGTAGCTGCAGCTATAGCAGTAGAAGCCTATAAAAAGGCTTGTCTTAGGGCTAAGTTACCCTTTAGAACTAATTTAACACTAGATCTTTACTAACCTATAAGCTAAGTCTCTTACTAATAACTAAAAGTACTAAGTTAATATTTCTATATATTTATAATAAAAAACTATATTAGCTTTAATATAAGCTTTTATTAACTTAGAAGTAAACAGCATAAGTTATATTAATAAAAAACTAGCATATAAACTAAATTTTTAATTAATACTACTTACCTAAATAATTTACTTAACTAGATTTAATAGAAAATAACTTAAAAAAGGTTTTATCTTTTATACTATAACTATTATAATTACTTACTAACACTATAAAGAGTAGATTAAACTCTATGTAATAAACATAAAACATTATAACCTAATTCTAGAATAACTATAGCTATATTAGCATAAAGTTACTTTTAATTACTAAAAGTAAGTCTTAAACTTTAACTTTTTTTAATACTAAAATATATGCTTACACTTACACCTAAACAACACCTAAGTAGCACTTAATATAGAAGGTCTCTAAACTTACTTTTTAATAACTTAAAAAAAAACTACTTAAGTAAGGCTAATAAGCTAGGCCTTTTACTAAAATAAGCTATATAAAATAATTTAATAACTACTTAAACTTAAAAAAAAAAGCTGTTAAAGAATTTTTACTTACTTAATTTAAACATAAACTAGGACTTAAATAGTAGATAAACATCTGCTATATAAAACCTACTTTATTTATAACCCTAGCTTAATAACTAGATTATAAAATCTACGCAGTTATAATTTCTAATATAAACTAAGCTTTAGCTCTCTAAAAACACACTAACTTAAAAATAATAGTCTTTTAAAACTACTATAACTTATTATATATCTTTTTTTAAAATAAGTCTAATAAGCTTTTAATATAACACTTATATAATTACTAGATAACTTTTAAGCCTAGTAAACAACTTAGTTATAGGCTACTATATAAAATATTACTAAATAAATTAAAAGTGCTTTAAAAATACTTTAATAAAAACTTAAAAAAAAGTTTATTTAAGCTAGCTTCTTACTAGTAGTGTTACTTATACTATTTATAAAGAAACCTAAAAGTAGACTTTAATTTTATGTTAACTACTAAAGACTAAACACTATTACTATTAAAAACTAATACTTAATTCTTTTTTTATAAGAAACTTTAAGCTAACTAAGTAAAGTAAAGTATTTTATAAAGTTAGATATTATTACTGCTTTTAATAAGCTAAAAATAGTAAAGAGTAATAAGTAGCTAACAGTGTTTTAGACTTAATATAAACTATTTAAGTACTTAGTAATGCTTTTTAGCTTAGCTAACACGCCTAGTACTTTTTAACATTTTATAAATAACTTACTCTAACCCTACCTAGACATGTTCTACACTATGTATATTAATAATATTCTAATCTATAGTAATAGCCTTTTAAAGCATAAACAGCATGTACGCTTAGTGCTAA